AAAAAAAAAAAAAAAAAAAAGATCGTTTTCTCCATGTTTTTTGTATTGTTCTGTTACACTATAATTTTTATTTATATCGTTATAACCTCATAATTTCTATAATATGATAAATGATACGTACATTCTATTTTTGATTTTTTCATCTCTTCATATTTGTGGCTCTATTTTTTTGGTAAATGTAATTGTTTATATGATCATTTTTTTGGTTTCAGTTTTATGACTATAATGTCGTTTTTTTGATTGGCAATTGTGATTGTATCAACAAATGAACCAATGTTGTCACACTGTGTTATTAAACTATTAAATCAAATGAATACGTGTGGTTGTAACCGTAGTGGCCAAGTTTTAAAACAATGATATTAGACTCTGTTGTTATACTAATAAAACAAAGGAATATGTGTGTAATTGTCGTGTTTAAACCTCTTAGTCAATGATGTTACTCTCCGTTGTCATAGTATTAAATTAAATAAACGTGTGTGTGTAATCGTCTTGCCTAATCCACTTCATCAATAATGTCTTTATATTTGAAAAAATTTACAACTCCTTGTCACACTATAAATTCATAAGAAAAAATGGTAATAACAAATGATTACTCAAGTAAAACGATATTTATGAAAACGAAATGTGTCAATAAAGTGTTTGTTGAAAATGTTACTATAAAAGTGACTTTATAAAGGGAAGGCTACGATACTGCCCTTGGTATCGTACCGAAATTTATAACTATTTAAAGTTAAGTTATAATTTTTTTTAGATGTAAGTTACAACCTTTAAAGGTCATGATCGATCATGATAGATTGTGATTGATAATAAAGTTACAATTTTTAAAGGTCAAGTTATAACTCATAAGAGAGAAGTTACAATTGCNATAAAACAAAGGAATATGTGTGTAATTGTCGTGTTTAAACCTCTTAGTCAATGATGGTACTCTCCGTTGTCATAGTATTAAATTAAATAAACGTGTGTGTGTAATCGTCTTGCCTAATCCACTGCATCAATGATGTCTTTATATTTGAAAAATTTACAACTCCTTGTCACACTATAAATTCATAAGAAAAAATGGTAATAACAAATGATTACTCAAGTAAAACGATATTTATGAAAACGAAATGTGTCAATAAAGTGTTTGTTGAAAATGTTACTATAAAAGTGACTTTATAAAGGGAAGGCTACGATACTGCCCTTGGTATCGTACCGAAATTTATAACTATTTAAAGTTAAGTTATAATTTTTTTTAGATGTAAGTTACAACCTTTAAAGGTCATGATCGATCATGATAGATTGTGATTGATAATAAAGTTACAACTTTTAAAGGTCAAGTTATAACTCATAAGAGAGAAATTACAATTTCTNTTTTTTTTGACATATTTGTTTTTCCCTTAAATCACGCATATTAGATTTTGTAGTTATTTTGTTTTTTGAATTGTTTTATTATATTGAATATTTCTTAATTTAATAGGTGAATTATATCCTTAGTATCTTTGCCATCAAATGTATCTTCTATTTTCTTCTCCAACCATCAGCCATTATCATTTTTCTTCTTCAACCAATTTTCATTTTTCTTTCTTCTTCTCTAACTAGTTTAGTGATCTTCTTTATTCTTCTTCAACCAATTTTTGTTTTNTTGATAATAAAGTTACAACTTTTAAAGGTCAAGTTATAACTCATAAGAGAAAAGTTACAATTGCTCAGGTAAAGTCCATGATCGATTATATGTATTTGAGATCGATCATGGTCCTTTTAATCGATCATGGACTTTCCTTGAGTAATTGTAACTTCTGCCTTTTGAATTGTAACTTTATCATAAAAGTAGTAAGTGGCGGTACGGTACCGTGAACTTTCCCTTTTATATATAGTGGATAAGCAGTATGACTCCAAAATACAAAAAAATAAAAAAAAAATCATATCTCAAATACTATGGTTGACCCTTTTAGGTAGAAAGTGTGACACCATAGTGTGCCTTAAATNACGAAATGTGTCAATAAAGTGTTTGTTGAAAATGTTACTATAAAAGTGACTTTATATAGGGAAGGCTACGATACTGCCCTTGGTATCGTACCGAAATTTATAACTATTTAAAGTTAAGTTATAATTTTTTTTAGATTGAAGTTACAACCTTTAAAGGTCATGATCGATCATGATAGATTGTGATTGATAATAAAGTTACAACTTTTAAAGGTCAAGTTATAACTCATAAGAGAGAAATTACAATTTCTCATAGATTGTGATTGATAATAAAGTTACAACTTTTAAAGGTCAAGTTATAACTCATAAGAGAAAAGTTGCAATTGTTCAGGTAAAGTCCATGATCGATTATATGTATCTGAGATCGATCATGGTCCTTTTAATCGACCATGGACTTTCCTTGAGTAATTGTAACTTTTTCCTTTTGAATTGTAACTTTACCATAAAAATAGTAAGTGGCGGTACGGTACCGTGGACTTTCCCTTTTATATATAGTGGATAAGCAGTGTGACTCCAAAGTACAAAAAAATAAAAAAAAATCACATCTCAAATACTATGGTTGACCCTTTTAGGTAGAAAGTGTGACACCATAGTGTGCCTTTAAATTTTTTTTTTTAATTTTAGAACTTTCTAAAATAAGATAGCTAAAATTTTTTAATTTTAATTTTCAAATATCAAAAGGTTCTCAAAAATTTTGAATCATATTCCTAAAAAAAGAAAGAAATAAATTTTGTTATGTTAAAGACGAAATCCTATAAATTTGACTCCCAAATTGTTGTNTTAATTTTCAAATATCAAAAGGTTCTCAAAAATTTTGAATCATATTCCTAAAAAAAAAAAGAAATAAATTTTGTTATGTTAAAGACGAAATCCTATAAATTTGACTCCCAAATTGTTATTTAACGTAATTTCTATAAAATACATATTTGACTAAGTTAAACCTAATGCAAATTAAAATTTATTAATTTCAGCACTTTTTAAGATAAAATAACTATAATTTCTTAATTTTAGTTTTTAAATTTCAAAAGGTTTTCAAAAACTTTGAAACATATCGTTAAAAAAAAAAAAGAAATAATTTTTTTTTCCTCTATGGGTTTCCAAATCATTTTAAACAACAAATGTATAATAAAAGAGTACTGAGGTATTTCTTTATTACTGAAGGACTTTTTTTAGAATATTTTTCATAAAAGACTTATCTATACGACTTTAAAATTTATACTACTATAAAATGTTANAACCTAATGCAAATTAAAATTTATTAATTTCAGCAC